GCCATTTGGCCCAAAACCCAATGTGGCCACTGATGTGCGGGTGTGGCGACAGAGGAACAGGTTGGAAGTGTTAGGAGAGCACGCCTATCATTGTCACAAGTTAAAAAAAAACTCTCACACGCACAGCTTTTAGGAGCATAATGCACCCAGCACAGCAGGTGTCCGCGTGCAGACTTGACTGAAAATGCAGCGAGAGCCCAAACATGCCAGACGGGATCAAAATCGGCCGCTCTGTGCCCTGCCGCCGCCACGGCCCCGGGTCGGAGGAGCTGGACAGGAAGGGTGGCAGACCTTAGTGTTGGCACTGTGGGGGGGATGCCAGGGGAAGTGAGGATCACACACACACACACACACACACACAGTATGTAGAAGGGCAGGAATAACACATGACACTGGTTCTCCTTGGTGCATCAGAGTCACTGTCGCTGCGCTTACACACCTCGTTTCTAGCAGCAGCAGGCAGCTGTTTACAGCAATAATAAAGAAACACCGTGCAGCAGCTGCAAAGCAACAAACAACAGACAACGTCAGCTGATCGCTGGTGAACATGGCGAAGCGTTAAGAGCGAGATATTTCCCCTCAGGAGTCGACAAAGAACCTAAACAGAACTAGAAAGGGAGTGACTATTGAAGTTGATCCATCTGTTTGACGCAAACACCACCGGCAGCTATTGAGCCTTTAAGTGTGTTTCAGCTGAAGTGCATTGTGGGAACTTAAACATAGAAAATATCTGTATAGAAATCGTAGGTCTTATTTAGGTGTAGTCATTGTGGCATCACACCGTTGTCCAGCTACAGCAGAGACTGAACGGAGAGATGTTTTAGGATTCTAAAGGCCACTCCGGGGTGAATGAAGATGTTTTCAGCCCTGAAAAAATAAACCTTTCAGCCAGAGCACATTGCGTCACGTTGAGCTTCGACGATAAATTCCCAGTAGAGTGACAATTTTAATTTGTTCATGCTTTACATTTTTGGAGTTTTTCTTCTAATGGGAGAACTTAGTTTGGACTTTGTGTCCTTGTTGTTTTTTGAGCTTGAAGTCGTTGAAAGAGGAATTCTTTGTTATGCTGAGAAGCTGTATTCTTCCATCGCCGTTTTGATGAAGGATTTTTGTATTACAATATCAGAGCAAAGCCCACATCTAGCGCCGGTCGAAATACTCTCAACCAAAATGTACTTCTTTTGTTTTACCGAATTAGATTCACACCATTATCATTAAATTTTGCCTCCAACAGCCGCCCACGCAGACACACACACCCGCCTTAAAGCCTAGTCACCACATTTATGAGTGAATATCAATTGAAATCCACTAAGATGTATAATACGGTGTAGAAAAACAGCATTTCCCGAGGTCTGAAGCCCATCACAAACAACACGGATCTATGAATTATCAAGCGCCGCCTCTTGTCCTGTTCCCATGCGAATCGTCACACCAAGTCTTTGGGGTTAAGCTTAGGTCTATTTCAGTTTCAGTTGAGCTTGATAAAACACTCGGCAAATCCAGCATCAATAATACAGCGATCAACATGGCGTACACGGGGTATGAGGCTACATCCTTTTAGTCCTGTCGGCCCAAATGGAACTCCATGTTCCTGCATGTAGCTGCCATTCTGCTGAATAATTGAAGGTGGTAATTAGGCGCATGTGGCTGCTGCATGTGTCTGTAGAGCAAAATAACGGTCAGAACCGTGTTAGTTTAGAGTATTTTTAATCCCCCTCTCCGTATTGTGTTTATTTTGGCCTAATTCCAGCTCCCTGGTTCATAAAAAAGCACAAGCACTTAAATTAAATTAAAATGGAAAAAAAACAGGCAATAAAAACATAATCTACACGGTTTGTGTGTGTGCGCCTCACTTCACTTCCTGTTGTATCATGTTTGCCTAAACAGACCGTGTACACATTATAAAGTGGCCGGCTATCCCGGAGCTGTTGTGCTATCGCTGTCCCGGTGGCATTTGCATTTCACCGTCATGTCATCCCTACCAACACCACATTTTATCAACACAATCTGGATGCGTGTCAAAAGTACAATGGGCATTGTGTTGCGTTGCCCCGCTGATGAACCGGGACGAGCCAATGCTCCATGACCTGGATAGAAGAGGACAACCCCCCTTCCAGCCCCCCCGCCCCCCTCCACGTTAGAAAGGGTCGCGGTGTGCGCGGCGACGCGCATTTCGCCCACACACGGGACGAGCCGGGCTGTTCAAGTGCAATACATGGAAACGCGACACGGTTGATGGTGTTGCCGAGAGGTCGATGTAATTTAATTTTCTTTGCAGCTTTGCACACAACCAGAGTGTGAGTTCACACAGGAGCTGGACCGGAGCACTCGGAGGTCACGGCAAAGAGAGTTGTGTGAGGAACGAATAGAAAGACAGAATTTCGGTATGAATGCTGCAGCTTTGAAGCTCACTGTGACGTCATCACTTCCTGCATAATTAAAACTCAAAAGGAGCCCTGCTACAATTATGGAACAGAATGCTTTACGCCATTTCCTCCCACCTCTCTGGTATACAGAAGGCAGAAAACGTCCAGAAAATACTCAAAGAAAATCAACATAGCGTCTCACATTATATGACCTCATTACTGCAGCCCATATAACACCTAAAAGTTGTAAAATGTTCTTCTGCTCAAGTAGACTATCATTAAGAGATCATGAATTGGAAACAAATGACTTTTTTGAGGTCATGTACGAATAGTTCAGCCATAAGCCTGACTGTCTCACATCTGCTTATCCTCTACCAGCTCGTTTTTTTCAGTGCTTTTGTTAATCAAGCAGACTACTGTAATGGACCGTCTGACATTATGCTAAAGAGTGCCTGCTCATCGACCCCTTTATTAACATCATGTTAAAGGATTGAAATGAAAGTGGAGCTTGATGTTAGCCATCAGCATGTCTGGATGAAAGATGTGACCAATGGACGGACTGAATCCCCTCCAGCTTCGAGGAGAAACGTGCTGCAGAGTTATCGCAACCAAAACATAAATACCAAATGGAACATGTCTGCAATTTGCTTGTTTTAGTCTTCCATACGCAAATTCTAAATAAATAAAAATAACCTCTTTACCCATCTCTGGTCCCTTCCTTTCCCTCTCTCTCTCGCTGACCTTTAATACGGCCTCTCGCTCTCATTTTCTCACTATCTCAGCCCTTTTATCTCTCTCTCCTTCCCTCTGGTCGTTTCTGCTGAACTGTGAGGATTAAAGGATGTGAGGGGAGTGAGCTCGGGATCATGGGAAGGTGTGATGGCGGGATGTCTGTCGCGACCTCAGGGATGAAAGAGCATGGCCCTGTGAAAGGAGAGGAGAGATTTTTCTTCCCTTCCTCCCCCGCTCTACGATTATTGAAGGAGTAACACCTTCGATCATCCTTGAGAAAATCTAGATGTCCAGTGGCAGCAGCGGCTCAGCTGTGGGGTCATCGCCAGGTGCGAAGACACGCGCTTTCCCCCCCCGCAGGAGACGCCACACATACATGACTTAGAGATTAATCTGCTCACAGAGGCGTTTGTCGTGTTGCATGAACTCCAACTTCCTCTGGTTTGACACTGCTGATTACCGCTTGGCACAAAACTGTCTTCAAGATGGGATCTCTGGGCGCTGCAGCCTTTCTCCACTCGCAATTAATTTATCTCGCTGGCTGCTGATCTGATCGTACCTATCAGTGGCAGAACCCTGCTTCTTTCTCTCTTCCACCATCTGTCAGCCATGCATCACCGCAATCCTCACCCGAAACAGGCCCTGGTACCGCTCAGCGCCTGTGCGCTGTAATACTGAGGGAGGTCGCCGTGCGGTCACTGCGCAAAGCCTGCTCGCATTGTGACTCAAAGCTGCAGAATATGCCATGGTGCATTAGCGCAGCCGCCTGGCTATATATATATATATATATATATATATATATATATATATAAGCGATTGAAGAGGAGGAGGAGCCGGCCTGGCTGAGCATATACAGTGTATATAAAGGAGAGAGAGAGAAGGAGGAGCTATGGGATGGACCAACAGGCAAAAGGATGTGGAGGCAAAAGTGAGAGGAGAGGGAGGTATAGGGAGGGAGGATAGTGAGGACATCAGCGCACTTACACAAGCAGATTTCAGCGGCCCCAGGGGCCCAGGGGCCTCGTGAGGTGGCTCATCAATTATGAAGGCATATCAAGGCTGTGTGTTCGCTCTGGTATCGACTCCTTCCTTCTCCTTCTCTCCGTGTCTTTTGGAAAGTGACGTGCTGCAGCGTTCCATAAGATCCAATATTTTTAGGTGCACACCGCGAAGCCGCCGCTCTCTGCGTCAGAACAACATGCGAACGGCCCGTAACATGTTCTGGACTCTCCTTTAAGTGATAAGCTGCTCCAATTATGCTCAGCTTTTTCTACTGTCACTATTTCTTTTAACGGTAAAGTGGATCATTTTTAAACTCTCCTATTTAAAATTACACTTTGCGTGTACTTCGAAAACACAAAATTCAATATAATTATTATCACAGCATGACATTGTGTGTTTCGTTCCAGTCAGTGAGAGAGGAACATCGGATAAAAAATAAAACGTGTTTTCAAAGTCACAAAGTACCCATATACTCAAATAAAATATGTCAGTCAATCCTTAACGTGCTTTTATGTGTAAAAAGAAATAATAGTTCCCTTAAAGTGAAAAAGATTAACAAAAAAAGGAACGCTTTCGAGATTAAGGAGTCTACACAAGTGAACAGACTGAATTTGACAGAAGGTGGACAATAGACACACAACACACACACTCAATTGTCGAAAAGAGAGAGGTCATGTCGGGGTCGTCGTCCAGGGACTTGTCCTGAAAGTCAAACATGAAAGAGCTCTATCCCGAAGTCTGTGCACATCCTCCATGACGTGTGACCGAGGTCAAAAGGAAGCTTCGGAGGCCGCAGCGGGGCCGTGCTCTTACTATAAACCCATAAACACTCACGCAAGGAGTGTGTATACACATTCACGTACGCATACACAAACAGGCACACAGTTAACTTGTACTCACTGTTGCTGCGCACACACATGCATTTGTCATCAGAGTAGCAGTGTGGCCGCGTTGCGATGAAGGCGAAGGCTCTGGGGCTTTGGAGCTCAGAGCAGAGAGGCAGGGGTCCGTGGCCCGTCCTTGACCCTCCACTGGACCTCGGCGGCTTTGAGTGACACATAATTAAAAATTGTTAGTCACAAATGGAACAACTGAATGTGAATGTGCTGCTGGTTTGATAGAACCGGAGACTGAGGTAAAATATTTAGACAAAGTAAATAAGTAGTAGTAAGGTGATAAGAATGGAGTTGTACATGTTTCCACGTCTCTTTTTTTCTTTATCCCGTTTCTACAATTTTGCTTTACTTTGGCAGCCAAAGATGATCTAATAATATACATTTCCTCGGTGAAAGGTATAAGGAAAATAGGAGAAATAGGAGAATTCAAATGGAAAATTTAAACAGTTAACAGAAACATTGTATTTCAAATTTGGTTTTAAGAAGTCCTCAAATAGAATAGAATAGAATAGAATGGGTTAGTTTAACTTCAGCAACACGGTGTTACTAGACTTTCAGTTCTCTAGGATTATTACATTGAACAAATAAAAAACAAACATTTGACAACCATACAAACCCACAATGAAGCAGATTTAGGTGAGTCTGGTTATTTTTAATCTTTTAAATCCCTAGAAATTGAAATCCTCTGATAAGCTAAAAAGTAATAACTGTAAACCCAGTATTTTCCGCCATGACGCGCTGACATTCACGTTTACATTCATACACGCGTGGCAGCAGGTCCGGCCTACAGTGCAACAAACTGGCACTCTCGCAGTACTGGCAGGAATGATCTGCTCAACGTAGGCCAAGTGTGAGCTTCCAATCCTTAATGCACCGGCAATGCCAGCACACAAGTGCTGTGTGTGGAGAGAGACCTGTGGACAGAGGGAGGCTGGAAGTATCCATTCCTGTCCTGCCCGCAGCCAGCGTCTGTCACCAGCCATTACTGTCACTCAGACCCAACAGGTGCTGGTGAACATGCCACAGACGGCAGCCAAACATTGTCATGCTAATGGGGGCTGTATTTAGGTCCCTGCAGCTTCTGGACTTTGGTCCCAGATTTTATTTTTTTTTTGTTGTTGTTTTTATTTGAGCACCTTCAGGCCCTGTTTGCTAAATGAGCCACCGAAAAATAAGAGTTAAAAACCAAGGAAGGGGACTTCTTTTAACACACTTTAGACGTGAAGGCCAAATAAACAGTATAACACGGGTTCAAGTCACATTTTTGGACCGACAATTCCGCAATTTGACATGAATACACTACACTTTTACATTTGAAAGATTAGCACAGGTGACAATTCATCTTAACTCATACCTTTTGTCCCTCAACTTGCTGGTGAGTATGATTTCTCTTTTGGTTAAACATTAAATGAATCCCGTTTGACAGCGTTGTCCCGCTGCTTACAACGTTCAGAAAGACCCGGTGCCGTCCCCAAAAACATGGCGTCTTCCCCGTAAAGCTAACGCTAGCTAACGTTAACTGTTGGCAGTTTCCTATTAGTCTTGGGGAACCACTCGACATTCAATTTAGTTATTTCTGTTATAGCTTTGGTTTATAACACGCGGCTGTTGGGCACCGAAGGTTTTAGTCCCCATATGTCACTTCAAAAGGCAGTTTTAAAATGCGTGCCTGTAATATTAATGTTGGTCCGGAGTGTCTTCTTTACGAACTTGTGCCAACTGCCGACCAATGACGTCAAAGGACCTGACGAACAGCCAATCAGATTGCGGCGAGGCAACATGCAATCAGCTTCGCGCATGCGCGTTGTTGCCTTGCCGCTGGAGGTAAATTGCGAAATATAAATCATTAAAAGCAGCTGATTGTTTTAAATCGCGCCGTAATCTATGATTATGTTCATTTATAAATTACACAGCATCCCAAAATACATTTAAGTGGCGCTAGTGGCACCTCTATGCGTTGTTATTAACACAACATTAAAAAAAGATTTTATATTACTTTCAGTCTCAGTTTGAGCACTACATGCTGTTACACAGCCAATAGCTATTAGTTATGCATTCGGTAGACTATTGATAAATCCGGATTCGTTTCCTGGTTACCGTGTTACTACGGCAACCATGGAACCCGTCAACAAATCTGGGAAACGGAGACGTGGAAGATGTAAACATTGGTAAATAAAAGCTACTGATCTAAACTTTCAGTCAAGCTAAAGTTAACTACTTCGATGGTTTCTCACTCTCCAAAAATCCCGTCGTCTAGATCTTTTCCTCGTTTGAATTTACAACCGCAGCGCTCGTGTGGTTTCACTTTGCAGGACACTTGGCCACGGATCTCCCCCGGACGGCCACTTGTTTCCAGCTGTTGCAGCTGGGAGCCCTGAGACGCTGGAGGAAGGTGTGGACAGACAGGTGGGCTCATCAGCATTACACGATGGTGGCAGGTATGCTGCAGGTGATTGATTTATATTGTAGTATTGATTGATAAAAGTAGCCCAGAGTGACCATTGCCTACAGCCCACCGAGTTTGTACACAAATACAGGTAAAAAAAGTCAGCATAATAGTCTCAGAAGTGCTCACTGAAAAGAAGATGTAATTATTGGTGTTATGCTATAGGCCTGAATGGAATTTAAATATTCTGGTTTATAAAATGATAATTAAATGAACAATGGCAAACCTTAATCTGTTGAAGAATAGGTTGGCCTATAAATACGTTTTCCTTAAAAGCATTCACAAAACGGAAAACAGAATAAAAAAAAAAGAACAGCCCCTCTCTAAACGCACTTAATCTCCACTCGTGCACCTCGAGGTCACAGCAGGAGCCGACGAGGTGTTGCGGCCCCGCTACATCGAGTTGAGCCCAGTCGAGCCTCGCCATTGACAAACATCCTCATCGCTGCTCGCGTAACTCGCGTTTCACCCCGCAGGGCCAGTCGGCGCTCCACTTGGCCTGCCTCGACGGCCAGCTGGCTGCGGTTCAGCTCCTGGTGGAGTCCGGGCGGAGCCCGGTCGACTGCACCGACCTGCAGGGTCGCCAGCCCGTCCACGTGGTGCTGTCGCCCCGCAGCTCACCCAACGCCTCCACCTGCCTGACGTACCTGCTGGAGCACGGGGCCGACGCCAACGCGTACGGCCCTCGTTTTGTGTTGCTCTTGTGTGGATGTTTTCACTTGAGGCCGCTGTATTTTCTATGGTCGGGGGGCAACTCAGCTGCTCATTCAATCCCCAAGTACAAAAGTGAAACTATGATCACAGTGAGATGATGGTGAAAGTTTATAGCTGCTGTTGCAGGGGATAATAGCAGTAATGATGAAAATTATGACAAGATGAATGGTAACAGACTTCTTTCTAACATTATTTTTCGGATTTTACCAGCACCACATATTCAGGGACGACCCCGCTGCACCTGGCCGCCACCGAAGGCCTCCTGGAGTGCGCAGAGACCCTCACGCGGGCCGGCGCCGACGTGTTGGCCCGGGACAGCATGGGACACACTCCCCTGGATGCGGCCCGCATCTGGTGTCACAGGGAGGTGGCGAGGTAACGGGCGGTAAGAAGGATGCAGCCGATGCACACGGTTTTAATCGTTAAGACTTGTGTGTGTTTTGGGTGCAGGTATCTGAAAAGCTGCGTGTGGCAGGCTGAGAAGAAGAAAGAAATGCAGGAGAGGAAGCTGGTTCAGACTTTATACAGCGACCTCGTGGATACGGTCAAACTCAATGGCCTCAACAAAAAGGTGAGCTTGCATGTTGGAACAATAACAGATGTAAAAGGTAATCAATGAGTTTTTTGGCATCAAATGTTATTTGATTAAATAACCATTTCTACATATTACTACTATTTCTAACATATCTATAGAACTAACAACTGTCTGCATATGCAATTTCAGACACTCGTAGACGAGAAGATGGCAGATTGGGCGGACAAAAAAGGCTTTCCTCTCCTAAAGGATTTCTCCCCCAGCGTCTCGGTGAGTCAGTACCACACCCAGTGCCTTCCACCACATCAGACCAGCCCTCATTCAAAACGTGCCAGGCAGCCATGGAAGCCGCAGTCAGGAGGTCCCCTGGAGGACAACGCCCCCTCCTCCTCCAGACCCTGGACCATCTTCATGGGCCTCCAGCCGGAGAAACCCCTCAGAGAGCCCGACCTCCGGGACAAAGTCACGGTGTGGAGGGACCGCGGCGAGAGGCCGCCTCAGTATGCGACCGAGTGGGACGGCGTGCGTCGCTCCGCCCCCGAAGTGCCTTTGGATCTCCTGGAGAGGGTGTTGTTCCCCAGAGCCTTCCCTTCCAGGATCGCCTCGCCCCGGTCCTTTGAGCCACGGGACATAGCGGGGGTGCAGCACAGAGGACGCCCCCAAGGGCAGAGCCCCTCCCCCTGGACAGAGGTGGCCATGCACCTGGCTGAAGTACTGGAGCCGGGACACTACTGACCATCGCACTCTGTTCTGGAGGCGCTCCTGAAATTAGTAGGTGCGTGGAGGAAATGTATTAAAACCCGACTCAATATTTTTTTATCTAAATCTTGAGGGAGAATGAAAGAGCATGAAGCCCTTTTTTTTAGATTTAATAGTTTTATAATAACATTGAGGAAGTGAACATGAAGCAATTCAGTGAAACTTCAGCGTGCAACAGCTGACACTTCCCCATCTACATATTCAGCCAAGACCTCAGCTCGAAGGGACAAGATTAAAAATGCCACACAATCCAGACGCTACACCTCCAAAAGCAGGGAGGGGGTGGAGGGGGGGGGGGGGGACCGAGAGGTGAGAAAAACCTCAGTGAACTGGGTCACCTGTCTCAGATGGATCCGTGCACTTTCGCTGCTCTCCCCGGGGAACTGACTCGGGATGCGGCTGAGGGCTCGTCAACAGCAGGTTGTGACTGGGAGCTGTGGCCTGTCAGCTTAGGGTGTGTGTGTGTGTGTGTCGGCACGCTGTGGGTTTTTTCCTTTACTTCACACCTCGGCGGGGGTCAAAGGGCACACTGGCCTCAACCTGGTGTGACCCAGCCACGTGGGACTTGGATGACGTGAAGTCCTCCAACTAGGCCCGTATAGCGCGCACGCGCGCGCACACACACACACACACACACTTTGATGGAGTGTTCAAGGTGTGAGAACAAAAAAAAAAATCCATCGTACTGGAAAATAAATTAACATGAATAGGTGAATTAAACTGATTTAATTGGAATCGACCGAGATAAGTCCCTCTATTTTTGCTTTTATTACCTTGAAAACCAACCTGTGAAAAGAACCGTTTTATCTGACAGTTATTTCAAAAAAATCATTTATTAAACATTTGTGTGCATACCAGCCTACAAAGAATTGCACTCGTTAATTGGTAAAAAGAATCTCGGCTTCTTTAATAGCACTTCCACCAGAACACTTAGGAGCAGCTGGTGACGCGTGTCAGCTCACAAGAGTCGTCGCGTGGTTTTCGATCTGTGTATTTATTCGTCTCGCGACGGTTAAAACTCAACGAGCAACGTACCAAGAAAATCTTTTTGTTTCGTTTGTTACTACTGTAGTTTTTTATTTTTAAAAGTCCAGCAAGGTGATTAACGACTCTGGAGGCAAGACACACAAACCTCTCAACGTAGCGGATTGGGAGAGAGAGGGGGGAGGGGGGGTTTATCTGTTGTAGATCACTTTAATTGAAAGCCGTTTTAATTAGAAAAGATCTGTTCGGAGCAGACTTTATAACCCATTTTGATCGATGTGGTGGGAGTAATATATTATTATTTTGTAATGAAAAACGGCACGTGTGCATCGATCTGAAGCGGATTCATTACAATTTAGCGTCATTTAAAGTTCTGCGGTCTCTAACGTTCATCTGGGGAGACGGTTCTCACCGGTCGTACGCCGTCTGAATGGCGGCCAATCCCCCCCGAAAGGAAATGCCAAAGTCGAAAGAGGAAGAACAGGTAGATGGCGGTTGACCGAGGACATACATATTTAAATACCAAAGCTCACAAGACGTTAGGAAGGAAGGAAGCGTTTCAACGAGTCTTCTCGTAGATGACGTGTTCGTAGTAAAGACAGAGAGACAGAAAAACAAAGAGGGACAAACGTGGCCTTTGTAAAAACTCGTGGGCTCGTCCGGTGAAAAAAAAGCTCTCCTCTGTTCATTGGTCCGTCCTCTTTATCCGCTCCTCGGTTTTTGTTTTTAGTCCCATCCGGAAACAAATGTCCAAAGTCCGTCCTGCTTCCCCCTTGATCTCCACCGCGTACTCTCGCTCACTCGCGCGACCTCTGACCCCAGACCCCCGAGTTTGAGCTTCAGTACATTTTCTGTCGGCTGGGCACCACTGCCTCCTTGAGGAAAGAGAAGACGAGGAGGATCCCGGACCTCTTCCCCCTCTTTCCCTTGGTGAAGTAATTGGACACCACATCATCTGAAAAGAGGAGAAAAGGGCGTTATGTTGTGGTTTGTTATTCTGTCAAAGCTTCTGCGCAAGGCAGGAATGTATCAAAAAATAAAGAAAGGACAGTAAATAAAATCTACACATAATCTTTGCTTGAGATAAAATCAAATGAGCTTAAAGTGGCATTGAAAAGGGAGCACAAGAGACACAAATTAAACTCACCTCCTTGTTGCATGGTGGACGGAAGCACATTTTCGCCCGCTGACAGGGACACAAAGAAGCCGAAGGGGATCACCCACAAGCAGATGGTGAAGTACGCCAGCACCTTGAAGCCGAACGATCACATGGGAGAACTTCAGTCGCAGCAAAACCTTCAGGCAGCACACGCAATCACAGATTTGTGACGTAATTACCTCCGAGAATGGATAATACTCTTGTGCAAAGTACTGGAAGGCCAAATAATGGTTCACCACCACCAACACTGGAGAGTGAAAAAAAAAGGAAAAAGAAACAATGTCGGAAAATGGTAAAAGAAAAATGCATCTAGGAACACGTCACCAACGGACAACGAGCGTCACACTGACCACAGGAGAGGATGAAGTTGGGGGAGCTCAGTAGTATGTAAGGGAACGTCTGCAGGAGGCCAAAGTACACCAGGTTGGTGAAGAGGCCGAGTCCAACCATCAACATTGGGAAGCCTTCAAACAGGTAGAGGCTCGCCAGCACACCTGTCGAGAACTGCGCATCACATACAGTATTATACTACAGAACGGTCTTCAAAACATTTGCGAAAGAAAATGACATCAGTCTATTTATGCTTACTCACCATTATCATGTACTTTATTATTCGACTGGTGGCTACTGTGTATTCTTCTATTAGTTCTGCCAAGTAGTACAGGCCAGCAGCTGGGTGAGGACAACAATAACAATGTGAGGAACAAGCACACAGGAAACAACAAGTTTAAGTTTTCTTTGCTTTGAGTGCTTCTTCTTTTAACCATAATTGTACGAGTTGATATGCGGAGGCATGATGCAGGATGATGATACCGCCTTAAGAAAGTTACGGGTCACACTTGTTTTGATAACAGTGTCACGTTCACTTTACTTAGCAGCTTATGAGTGTCAACAAACTGCCAAAAGGAGAAATCACTAAATAAGGCAGCGATCTAAAAACACGCCTGTACCCGTTTCTACGTAGGCATATTTTGCACAACGTTTAGAAACATATCTTGGTTAATAAATGACGTTAGAAGCCATTCATTTGATGACAGGTGGGGATAAATCATTTCGGCTGTGGTTAACTTTGAGTGATAAGGAAGCAATAAATCGATTTAACTCTCTTGTATCGCATTCTCTGAGGAGACACATGTGCCTTAGTAGTGTTGTCACGTTGGTAATCAACAGATGCTCTTTGGTTTTGTTTACGAGGAGTGTGACGTGACACGCTGACACCCGCCACACCTGACAGCTGATCCGTGGCCAGGTGACCCGCTGACGACGTGGCTCTTCCTCACAGTAATGTTAAGGCGCTAAAGGAGCAGCGTGTTTAGTGGCCAGCTGGTTGCCCGACCTGCTGACTGAGAGGGTCTCATGTAAACAGCTAACAAAGCCCCCCTCCCCGCACACACACACCCCGCGCCGACGTTAGCTGGATTTGAGGGCAATGTTTGCTAGCTGCTATTGGCTAACTCTAACCCCTTCCCCATTTTTATTTAGCGTTAACTGCATAGCAGACATTATGACCAAACTGACGTTATCACCGTGTGATCGATTAACTACCGTTTGAATCGATAAGACTGGCAAGAGAGAAAACAGAATGCTAGCTAAGCATTAGCAAACACTGCAGAAGTGCTTCCCCTCTAACCCAAATACCTTATTTTACTTTTGCATACCAATGTACAGCCGGGGAATACGTAACGCCTTTTAATGCGCGACAATATTAGCATCTTAAGTTAAAGTATTCGTTGCACATGAAGTTAACTTCCGGTGCTAGACAGCAAGCTAGCTACGCATGCTATCAGCCCTTAACGTTAGGTTAGCAAACGAGCAAACGTAACGCTGCGTTACTAATTCCAGAGGCCAAACCACTAAAGCATTATAATATGAGCACATTGCTCAGAGCTAACACGGTCTGCAGTGAACAGACGCCGTCACACTGTGCAGCCTGCCGACTCGCTCCGCTAGCATTAGCAAGCGGTTAGCGGCCGGCTAGCACCTGCAGGGTGTGAACTTACCTATCGCTAGAGTGACGAAGGATATCTGGATGACCAGCGACAGCCAGCTGAGCAAATAAATAAACCACATCTCTCTGCATATGAACCCCCAGACACACACACAGAATGTGGTACTAACAACACAGGGGGGGAAAAAAACAGCTAGCCGGCCGCTAACTAGCGCTAATGCACCATGTAGAGCTGCGGTCAAAGTTCCTTTCCTCCGGAGCCTTCGGTGCGGGCCGAGGAGAGGAGACAAGAGGGGCCTCCGGGAGCGCGAGGCTTCGTTCGGTTGTAGCGCCCCCTGTGGTCGGAAGCGAAACGCAACGTTCCAGTGGCCCCTTGTTGTTGTTGTTGTGTTACGATGGCGAGGCAACAGCTGTATCAATTCCACCGCTTGCTAATGCTGTTGGCTAACCAAGGGATTCCCTGAGAGGAATCACACGTCCAGACATCTGTCACAGGGAAAAAGTTATAGTAGTATCTAAATAAGTACAAACATATTTAGATAATTATAAATGTTTATGAAATCATTTCTTCTGTTCATCAACCTGATAAACAGACTTTAAAGTTCAATAAATATATACTGTTTTTATATTTATATTTATATATATGATATATATGTGAGGTATATGTATATATTCAATAAAGATGTGTTGTTTGGGCCTCAATGCTAAAGTTCACACAGTATCATAGTTTAGTCTGGTTAACGTGCCCTTTATTTTCAGTATGCTTGAAACTAGAGTCAGTTTCAGAACCTCCTATCTCGCTTTCATTACCTGTCTGTCTCCATCTCCTGCTTTCGGCCACACACACACACACACACACACACACACACACACACACACACACACACACATGCATTGATTCACTGACAGTGAGGGCACAGGATACATTAGTGGGTCCCAAAAAGCTAACACCTCTGAGGCCGAGGAGGAAAACAATTAAACATGTATGCTGGGGAGTGAAAAGGCAGGCCTTTTAGTAAAAGGAGCTAAATAAAGTAAATACATAATGTGAAACGGTGTGAAGACACTAAAACGCTGTCCGAGTCAAAGGTGCGAGTAACTTCATATTTTTCCAAGGCTTTTTACAAAGGGAGACGGATAGATAGATAATGTGGTGAGAGGGTGTGGTGCATGTATTCATTCATGCATGCATGCACGCATATATACATTATCTGTGTGGAGGTGAGAAAACAAAAGGCGACCTGCCGCATTTAAAGATACTTTCAGGAGGTCACCTGAGGCTCTTATCTCGACAACACCTCTGGGTTTTTGGTGTGAGAGCTTTAATGTGCCAAAATAAATGGCAGCCTCCGTCCTTCTGCTGGCTCGGGCTTTAAGCGTCAGACACCTGGATGGAGAAGTGTGTATGAGTATTCATAGCAGAGTGTTTTTTATGACTCTGACTGCTTTTCATCTATATTCTGCAAAATGCACTTAGATCAGATGAAACCCAGGCAGCCATAAAGAACGATGTTGGGCATTGAACACGACTCAATGAGTTTCATTTCCTTTGACACGCAACAAGTACTGGCTATCTGAAGCAGATCTGGGTTAAATGGTGTTTTTAGGGGTTTCCTGAACCTCGCATGTGGGATTAAATGTTGCTTTGCAGTGTACACCTCTTCGCCTGGTTCTCCCAGGAGGATAAATAACTGATTTCTATATTATAGATATTGTATTCACCACAACTCAAGGCTTTATTGGAACTTTTCATTAAAGGCCAATATCAGCTGACATTACATTGTGAATTCAAACAAAGGCAACGCGTTCATGTATTCATTCAAAACATCTGCAGGGATATAATTGGTTCCTTTGAGGCCCCCCCCCCAAAAAAAAGAAGGAATGAGCTCAATTTTCCTGGCTGTCGATCAGAGCTGACATCCGGATGCGAGAGTCTCTCTTCTCTCTGTTCTGTTTCAGCCTCCGCAGCACCGGGGCAGTGCCGCTCTCGCCCGCCCAGGGAGCAGCTCCTGCTGCCGGGACACACCGGGGACCCGGAGCGGGGTCTGACCAACACAACACCAGACACTTTGTTACCATTATAAATATTTCAGGGGGACAAATTCTCTTTGCGTGCAGATCAGAAGTGGTCTGATGGTCGCTTCTACCTCTTTAACCTTTATTTTCAATGCATTTAAGCGCATTTGCAGTGACAATACTAATGGAATTAAAAGATAAAGCATGAAGTAATTAAAAAAACATCTGTGGCGTACAGCCGACCCGTGGAAACCCACAAAAAAAACCCACAATAACACAATCAACCAAAGCTCGTTGAACAGACACGAAGGACAAAGAGACACCACACGCGACGTACCCAGATTTTGGTCCTGGACCTCCCCCATCGCTCTCCTCCTCCTCTGGAGCACCTGCAGGAGCTCGGCTTCCCGGACGTTCCGGTCGAGTGCTCGCCTGGACGGCACCCTGTGGACCTGCTGGCGCTTCACGGTGTCCTGGTGGGTGAGAGGAGGGTGAAGATGCGTTTTAATGCGCTGCGGCTCGAGCTGCCGTCTGTCAGCGATGAGCTCGGCCTTCACGCGAGTCGGTGTACGTTACCAGCACTCCTTTCAACTCCAGGATGGCAGATTTCCGGTTTTCATTTCTCTTGTCCTGCAAGAAGACTTGGGAATCAGTGCGAACTGATAAATGATACAATATAAAAATAGCAAATGTATATAGATAACTCACCTTCCATGAGCTGTCGTCATCCTGTGAGCAGAGAAGTGGTCAGTTATTACAGTTTATTCTTTATTACTTTGCGTTCCTACACAAGTTACACTGTTCATTTTAAAGCACAAAATGCAGACACACACATTGCGTTCAATGGGGAACGTAAACAAAGAATTGGGGATTCCAACATGGCCACCTGTGTGATCTTCGTGGGCCTCAAGACGATGCCTCTCTTTATTCTCTCCATCATCTCATCCACCGCTTTGGCCTTCATGTCCAACAACGGTGTTTCTTCTGCAAGATCAGAGACGGAGAAAAGAACGCACAACCTTTGGGACTGACTACGTACTGCATCTAGAGTGCAGGATTAAAGACGCGCTCGGGATGAATCTCAGTGTTTTATCTGACATTGTTGCTTTTAAATTGAAGATTGACTCACTGTTTTGATCAGATTTTGTGGCGCTCTCTTTTCTCCTGCTTCTCAGGAAATCAAGGGGACTTTTCACAAAGACAAAGGGTGGGGGGGGGGGGGGGTCACATTGTCATACATGGTGAAATGGTGTCGATTCATAACTATTAAAACTCACAGTCAATAAGGTGTAAAAAGCCTCTGATACAGTATTGACACGGCTTCAGTAACATACTTTGACGCGTGGGGAGAGAGAGAGAGAGAGAGAGAGCAGTGTGCTTCCCCCTCAGGTTCTTCCTCCTGCTCAATGAATCTTGCAGGCGCTTCACTGCAACGGAAGGCGGTCAGCATCACAAGCTGAGAGAGCAGTCGCCCGGCAGATACCAAAACATATTGATCCGTTCAACACGAAACCAACAAGGGGAAAGACTCAGAACAGCCGTTGTCGGCCCCCGCTCCCCCCCCCGATATACCGTCCTCCTGGAGCTGCGTGACACGGCCGTTGGCTCCAGACAGCTGCGTCTCCAAGGCCGCCTTGTCCTCCTCGCTGCGCTCCAGCCGCCCCCTCAGGTCAGAGAGGACGGCGGCCTCGGCGGCGGCGCTCTGGCTCCCTGGACTCACCTGGGGACGGGGACGAAAGGAGCGGGGGAGGGGTCAGGAGGTAGAACACACAGGAAGAAAAAAAACAAAAAAGACCCTCGTGGCTTTGGCCCCCGACCCCTCGCACCCGGTCCTGGTAGTGGCGCCGTATATCGCACAGGGCCGCGCCGACCTCGGAGATCTGCTCCAGCGCCTGCTGCAGCTGCTGCTGCAGCAGCAGCGGCAGGCCGGGGTCCGACCCCCCCGGCGGCGTCCCTGCCTTCTGCTGCGCCAACACCTGACGAGAGAGAGAGAGGAACCTGATAAACCATCGGACACCGCGCACGTCTTCGCGGTGGTCTGCCTTTATGGAAAACGGAAAAGAAATCTTTTAAAAAGGCGAAAGCCACAATTAGAGGGAGGGGGGGGTTCTGAATAGATGGCTTTTAGTTTTCTCCCCCAGGAGGCCGTCGTAATGCAGAGAGTGTTTTCAGCACTGCATTGAAGAGGAGACACAATGCACACAGAGGGAGACGTGAGACAAAGCAAAACGTCTCCTCGCATAATGTCGAGCGTTGATTCACTGGGAAAATGAGATTATTCCCTGTGCAGTGGGACAAATAAATACACCAGCTGTAGTTTATTTAGAGCAAATAAATGAGATGTGAAGAAACATCTGGCCTGTGCAAAAGTACATACAGGTAAAGCTGCGGGTGTCAATCACTCTGATTGGATTGGAGGACGTTTTTGATCCACAAACTATTTTGGTGTCCCATGCGCATCGAGTCGCATACAAAGAGACTTTGCAACAACACATTTTTCACACAATTCTAATAATTTTTGAAGAGGCCCAAAAAAAACGTAGCAATGTATTGAAAACATTAAGTGACGCCCATGACAACGTTAGCAGCGAGAGAGCCTTCTTATTTTACTCACGGCCAGAAATTTCCCCCCAAAAATCCTAATCAGCTGTTTCTCTTCAACAGCAACTTTGACAACTGTAACAATACAGAAAGGATCTTGATGTATTCTGGCCCGATTGAATTCCCTTTTCATTAGAAACTTCATGGGAGCGGTTCTGTAATCAGCTGGGTTGTGAGAGCAGGAAGCGCGAGGGAAGCGTGGCTTTCGTTTCTGTGCTTCGGCCCGCGGGGGCCCGGACCGAAGCGGCGGCCTTTAGAAAGCTCCGTTTCAGCCCGCCGCTCTGACTCTCGGGTCTCCCCTCGCCAGAGAGCAATTTTCACACAGCAATTAGCACAATTATTTATTTCATACACACAAACACACGGACACAACCACACAAAGAGACAAAGACTACACCCCCCACTCCCCCCCTAAAAAAAAAGAAACCTCCAAATTGTTTCCTGTTTTGGGGCCCTGCATTCATTACACCGCCGCGCATCACAGAGGAGAGGTGTGAATGGCTGCTGTTTTCAAAACACATGAAAACAGACAAATAGTCGCGCACACAAGAGGCATTCAGCGCTTGGGGGGGGGCTCTTTTAACACGAATTGAGAGTAAAGGGGGAGGGGGGGGATTGTGTGAACAGTTGGGGGTCCTTTTCACAGGTAAGGACCCCTGCGAGGCGGCCCATTGTCAGCCTGTCCGGTAAATGGAGGACGGCGCGCACAAAGGCGACAATTGCTATCTGCTCGGCGCAACATAAAGGTGTCGGGCAAAGACAGGTTGTGCTTAAAGACCACTATTCTCCTTCAGCCGCGGTGATGACCACTAATTACGGGGAAGGTAGAGGCTTAATGGGAAGGGAACAGAGAGACCTTTTTTTGAAAGAAAAGGCCTTCATTATAGGAGCAGCTGGGGCAGCGAAAAACGGTGCGTTTGTGTGTGTTTGTGTGTGTGTGTGTGTGTGTTGGGCTATTTGGATTTTAAGTGAATCGGTGTTTGTGTACAGAAGTGTGCGCGTCGGCTTTTGTCTGAGAGAACGCTTTGCCGAGAGCCTGGATGTGACCAAAGTGTCATCGGTGTGAAAACGCAGAATGGAGACCCCCCCGCTCCCGTCCCGCCACATCATCCGACAGCCGAGGTGTGTGCGTGTGTACGTGCGTGTGTGCGCCCCCCCAACCCCAACCCCAACCCCCTCCCGTCCGAAAGTCCGTCCGTTTGCCGTAGTTGCCCGAAGGTCAACACTCTAACACTCATGTTCCCGTCCTGTGGCACGACCTGTCACCCTCAGTATCTATAGGTGTGAATGTATGTCAAAATGTTTTGTGCATTGCAGAAAACACACACACACAGGCAGACACACACACACACACAGGCACGCCACGTGCTCACACCTGGTGGGCGAAGACTTCGACGTGCTGCCGGAGGTCCTGCTCCAGCTCCAGCTTCTGAGACATTTCAGAGAACTCTTCTGTGACGAGCTGGGAGACTGCACACGCACAGACACACACAATCACCGTTAAAAACGCTGTGCGTGGCGGCGTCCATGAGGTTTTTAATGAAGAGGTGAGAATGAAATGCACTGACGCGAGTCGTTGCTCAGTGAAATGAGTTCAACCCGAAGAACCGTGAATCAAATTGTCACATTTGGTCATTTGTTTCTTTCCGTGAAGTTGGGCTTCTTTTTCTTATTCATGTGATATGAAACTCTGCACAACAGTGAAAATAACATTCTAAACACAAACATTGTGTTTGGTTTGCAGCAGAAGCCTCGGGATACGGACACCTCAAAGTCAGCAGCAGATAAAATCTGATCTAATTAGCCTGAAACGACTGCAGGTTGGATGAATCACAAAATGCCATTTTTGGGGGGGTTAAAAAAAATGACAAAAACATTATTGATGGGTTAGTCACGGAAACATTTGTTAGCTGCAATCTGCATCGAATGAAGACTCACCACGTTTGATTTTATTCATGGTCTTGTTCTGTTTGCTAATTTTCCTCAGTAAGGCGTCTTTCTCCTCGACCTCCAGGGCGAGCTGAGAGAAAAGGTGTGCGATGAGACTCTATAGGGACACACACACACACACACACACACACACGCACGCACGCACGCAATGATGTACCTGCTCCCTCAGTTGGACCTGCTCTTTGGTCAGATCCTCCACTTGTTGCTCCAGCAGCATCTTCTCAGCTAACAGAGCGTCCACTGATGCCTGCAGCTCTGACACACACACGCACACACACACACACACACACACACACACACACAGTCACACAATCCAAAAGGTAATCCATATCCTTCATCTAATTTTAGCTCGCCCATGTTCTAATCTGATCGTGCAATATTTGGGGGTATTTAAGGAATGAAACATTTTAGATACATTTTTATTTTCCCTCACAAGGTTTGCACTGAAAATTAAATCTCTAAGTGAATGTAACTGCAAAGCATTTCACCGTGAAGTGATTATAAATGATACCAAATAGATTAATCAATTAGCTTAGCTCTTCAGCTTTGGCTGAGCATGAACTGTTTAATATATTATCATTGTGGGGGGGGGGGGGGTACTGTCTGTTTATTATTGATAATGTCCTTTGTCGTCCCTCTTGGACTGCTGATTTTTTGAATCATGTGCATCCCCAACCTGCGATCTGAGCCTGGTTGTCCAGCAGCAGCATCTCTCCTCCAACATCGTCAACCTCATCTCTGTTCCCCGCAGGGTCGGTCTGCGGGTCAAAGGTCGCGGCGGCCGAGTTTTCAGGCAGCTCGGGGATAAGCGGCATCATCATCATCTGGCTCGTCCTCTTCAGCACCTTGTTCTCCTTGGTCACCTGGGCAAGACAGTGGAAACAGCGGTGGAGGTTCCAGAGGTTTGTAGTACTTGTATTTTAAGGTTAGATTATAGAATTTACAGTATGAAGCTGCTTCTCGCTTCAGCCTCTTGTGTGTGAAGTGAAGGAATGACAAAGCAGAAGAGAAAGAAAGGAAACAACACAAAGGAAAACAAAAGGAAAGTAGAAGAAGTAAAGAAAAATGTACAGTATAGCCGGGAAAAGCAAAGGAAGCGGGAAAGGAATCAAAAGGACAGATTGAGGAAAGGAAATCTGGACGAAAAGAACCCACAGTAAGAAGACGTACTTTGACAGCAAACGCCTCGGCACTCTCCCTGCAGGAGCGCTCAATCTGGAACTGCATCTCCAGAACATTTATCTCCTTCAAGAGCTGAGCTGAGGCTGGAAACACGAGAAGAGTTGTTACAGAGCGAAGAGACATCAGACTCAAATTGCCATAGAATCAACCAGACACTTTTGATGTCATGGTGCTCGAGGTTGTGAATTAGAGCTCAATGCATTATGGGATGGATTGCATCTCACCGTCCTCTAGTTCAGAGAGTCTCTGGTTGGCTTCATCCCTCTGAATTTCCAGGATCTCAAACTTATAAATATAAAATGACAACAAGAAAACAAACAAACAACAAGAAAAACAGGAGAAAGAGATGACCACAAATTTTATATACATTCGTTCATCGTTCAGACAGTTTCCTCTTAGAGCTTTTCTTAAGTCTTCAACTTATTTTCTACTTAAAATATGTGCGCTGTGAGGGAAGAATACTCACTTTACTCCGGTTAAACCTGCACGATTGTGTAAACTTTCACCATCAAAATAGAAATATTTCTGCATTTTTTGCCCATTTTATTTGTCACTACTGCACATCACAAAGCGGCATTAATCAACCATTTTCTGTGATACCTGAATGTCTCCCTCATCTTCGGATGATGACCCCCCCTCTCCGTCCGACTCTGCGGGGGGGGGAAAGGATCTTATCAAAAGGGGCGATGGCGACAGAGAGCAGAGGAGAAATCAAACCTCCTCACATCCCGTCGGCGGGACTGCAAGAGGAACTACAGAGGCCTTCTGATCGGCCCGCCGGGAGCAATACAGGAAGCGAAAATCACAGGAGGAGCATTGAAAGAACGTTTCACCTTCTGTGGCCCCCGACTCGAGAGTCTCTACCTGCTATAAAACCTGGGCGCTGAATCCTTGAAGTTTTACATGTTGTGGGTGTATTTAACGCTGAAAAGAGCAACGCCAGCTGCATGCCACAGTTTCCAGTCCGTTGTGCTAAGCTAAGCTAACCTGGCTGATGTTGTGACCAAAATCTATTGCTGAAGTGTGAAAAGTATCCCTTTTGGGTGGTGGTGGTGGGGTTACGTGTGTGGGACTACACCCTGCACATAGGAACAGGTCTTTATGCTAAGCTAAGCTTCTTTTCCTGGGACTGGTATTGATATTCTCCACTCACACCGGGAATATAACTTTAGAAGTGAAGAACCGCCGACTCGCCAAACAAAGAGTGTTGAAATAATCCAAAAACATGACTCACAGAGCATCCGGCCTTTAGTTTTTCCTTTTTTTAATTATTGAAATTGTACAATACAACAAACCTCCGACATTTAAGAAAACCCTTGCTAATCGTACTCACAATAAATGACATGATTTTTTACAGTACCGTGAATTCTCATCGAAACCGGTCGTCATGTGACTAATACATGAACTCAGCACCAGTTTCAGCACCAGTTTCCCTCCACCTGAGTCTTACCTGCCGCTGCACCGCCCTCAACTCGTGCCCACATCATGCTCAGTTCTGCACCGTTTTCAAGCTTTTAGCTCCTCAAAAAAAACAACGAAGAACCGTCTTTCCGTCTGAGCAGCAGCCTGCTTGCAATTTAGGAAGCGAGTGGGAATTGAGACTTAAACCCTCCCCCTGCCTCGATTTAGAAAAGAGGAACCTTTTTTTCCTACACTGGCCAAAAGGACATCTTTATCATTACAGTTTAACATGGATGTAAATCCTAACAAACCAGTCTGTGTGTTTTATCAACACAAATTTGCAATTTCTAAATAAATGGGAATAGTATTTGCTTCTTGGTGTCACAAGTAAGACGACGACGATGTGTTGTGAACTTTCCACCCCCCTTTTCATAAGAGGAAAATGTAGCCTGTGTCCAAGCATGTGGTCCCTAAGGGACGACACTGTCTCTCTACTGCAAGATCAACGTCGCTCAAGCAGCCGGAGCAAAAGCAAAGCTGCTTTTATTCTGCTATTAGCATCTGTGATCCGGGTTCACGACCTCTGAATCAGACCCGCCATGGGAACCGAATGATGCTGAAGACACACATTTCTCCAGTGTGAATAATTTACAGAAGCGTAATGTTTTATGTATTCATCGGCCTTCATGGACTTTATTTCAGTGTGTTTGGTTTTATTTCAAATATGCGACTGTGCAGGGAGTTCGGCCAGGGTTAAGTAGCGCTTGCGTTTATCTGTGAGCCGTTCATGTGGAGGCCTCGCCGCTCCAGATGGGCGGAGCAGGAGGTCAGATGGAGAACAGCATCTTACAGGATAACGTTATTCTATATTGGAAAGTGCACTCAGGGCGGTTTATTTTATCTAACATAATATAATATAATAATGAGCAAATGTTGCAATGGTTAGGGACTATTTTCAACTCCGGATTAACACACATTTGGTTGTGTGTTTAGAGCAAAATTATTGTAAATGTGAGTTTGACTGCAAAAAAAAAGGGCCCGAGCTCATCGTATTGAAGGAAAAAGTCAGAAATAAAAATCAACGTGCACATGGTGTTTTAGGTTATCCCTGGAAAATGAAATAAAATATTCACTAAACATTAACATTTTGAGCTTGTAACAGCGGCCTTGAGCGGCCTCTTTTGAAACCTTAAATGTACATTTTGAGTACACAAAGACTAAAAACTATGTTTAATCATTCCTGGTGAAAATATGTCTAATCTAAAAAATAAAACATAAATAAAAAGACCTCATTCAGATTTGGGCTTTGGAATCCCCCGCCTCGTGCACACGGGGCCGCCTGCTAAACTGAAGGATAAAATACTGCTGGGTTTCATGCCGGTGACGTCCTTGTATTTTAATGAGTCTTTTCTCCTTGTGTGTTGCTCTCTTTGCAGGCACCACCTGAGCCCCAAAACCTCCTCCAGCCCGTCACCCCGACCTTTACTAACGATTCTTCCACATGTTAAAGGTTGAAATTGTCACTTAAGATCAGCCGTTGTCGGGCGTTTCCTGCATTGTCGGAAGACTCCTCATTAAAACTTGATATTTTTAAAATCCTATTGAGGCATGTAGTATTTTTCCAATACGGTTGTTTATTTTTTTGAACAGTATGACAGGCTTTTTAATCAATATATTTTATGATTTTCTTCAATAAGTCCTATTCAGCATTTAGAGAACGGACATAAAAAAAATATATTTTGACACACTGTAAAACAAATACATAATTTCTCACCACAATATTGATCCTGACTGAAAATATTTTCAATTTTGCTATTAGGAAGTAACATTACATAAAAGCAACAAACGTCCTCAGCAGGGGATTCATAAAATCCTGGATACAGCCCTGGTTGTAGAAATAATTAATTGCGCTCAATAAGCTGCATGTGTTGAAGGCTAAAAAATGTATCTGTCAGAAGTGGGATTCGAACCCACGCCTCCAGGGGAGACTGCGACCTGAACGCAGCGCCTTAGACCGCTCGGCCATCCTGACATAGGAAGTAATTAATCTACTCCTGTACATAAAGACTCTTGATATACCAATAGCTTATTTTATTCGATTTTCGACGTTGCTATAATACGTTAACCACGTCACTCAGGACTGTTGAATATTTTTCAATATGGGTTGGTATGAAACGTTACTTGGTAAGTTAACGTTATGTCATGAAACTCCGTGTCGCCTCTTAAACTCAAATTAAAATAAGTAATAATTAATGTTACCTCATTATTTCACTTAGATATTTCATGTGTGAGAACACCAAAACTATATTAAAAGACTCATGCATACATTGAAGGAAGAAGTGTTTCAAATTAATATAATACTGTAATAAATCACTTTTCTTTATTCGTAATTATTATTTTAATTGTAATTGTTCTATTAAGGGTTTTATTTATTGGAAACCGTGACAACGGTCGTCCCAAATAAATAATAATAACATAAAACACCCTGCAGCTAAAACCACGGCAGCTAGACTTCGGTGCCACCGCATGCCTTTCCTGTTGAAAATCTCAAACCTGGCAACCCCTCCCTCTTCCGCGTGCACACATGCCGCGTGCACTGAGGACTAGACAGAGGTTTAATGAAGGTATATGTTCACCACGCCACAGCAGCATCTGGTTGTTTCATGCTTGTGGTTATCCGCTCAAATCTGCCGGTGTAAAATGAGCAACAACAACAAAACAAAAACAAAAGAAATTGTAGTACAGGATTATGAGAGAGAGAGAGAGAGAGACCCACTCACACCAACATGCTCACCTGCTCCGGCTCTGGCGTGCTCAGCACTAATGACTGCGTGATTGGATTATCTGGGCTTTTAGCAGCACCACAGCTGCAGCTAACCTGCAAAGGCCAAGCTGGGGTCAACAAGGGGTCGCGACCTTTTCATAAGACAGGCGGGGCCAAGAGGATGGGGTTTTATTTTTTTGCAGAATGGAGCGGAGGATGCGCGGAGGAGAGGAGGATGGGAGATGGGATGCGCTGTGACAGAAGAGCCTCGCAGACACTGCTGGCCTCCTTGTGACTCCACTGTACGCTGGAAACAAACACACACACACACAAAAAACAGCGGCATCCACTCTCCCTTTCCTGTCTCACGCTTTAGCTCCTAAAAACGTGACCGAGCCATTACCATTTGTCCAAACAAACCTCGGAACAGAGGCGGATCATTTTGTATGACCCCAAACTGTCCTTTAATCATCTGTCACGAGCCGGCTGGGACGCACTCAACGGGATGTTTGATATGGGGGCCACGTTCATATCACGTCACCGTGCGGCCACATGTTTAAATGTGTTCCGTTGCCAGACGGCACTGGACTGCTGCCCTGCATGCAATCCTATCCCATCTTTTTTATATCATATATTATTTCACTATTTTAATAGAGACAAACCATTAATGAATCATAAATTAGGGACAATTTGGCTGCCTCCTGAAGGCAGCTCGCAGCTAACGGCGCTAACAGTGCTGGAACTAAAGCCAGAGCGCGGGCCGGGCGTTGTCAGCGGTAACAGCGGTAGAAATCTCTCTGCTGCAATTTTAATGCGCTGAGCCCTGGGTAATGCTTCTTTTAACCTGTTGTACATTTCTTAATTTTTGTTTGTTTACCTCCTATTGTTTGCTTTGTTACTTTCTATACTTATCTGTACATCCGACAAGCCGATTGTCCCCAATGGGGATAAATAAAGTTGCATCTCAGGGTGCATTCATGTGCATAAGAGTAAGCGCTACGCTGGTGCAGAAGACTTGTGGATATCTGAGGCTGCAGGTGTAAATAAATGAGTCCACAGTCGAGAGTAGCAGCCTGTGAGTAAATTTCCCACGGGGAGTTTGTCTCCGCATTAGTTTAGACCGAGAGGTCACTTACTCACTCTGTTTGAGTGAGTAAGTGACAATACGCTCAGCGCACATTACAAACAAATCTGCGTTTGCTGCACACTGATCCACTCAACTGAGGGAGAATATTCACAGACGTCTGGTGCCGGTTGTTACCAATTATTCTGCAAACGTTTCAGACTGCAGGGCCAAATATTCTCAGTGGATTTGGGTGGATTATTTAACAGAGGTACATTAAATCTTATTTGAATTGAATGAATCATTTTAATCCATTTAGGAATATTTAACAACGTTGTTGTGCACCTGCTTTTGTGCTTAGACCAAATTAAAGAGCGGAATTGAGCAGTAAAATAGTACTATCCCAGTATCTTATAATGAATACTGTTGTGATATTTACCCTGGTTCTGGACAATTATACCGATACTCTAACCTTTGGGATTTTGTTTGAAATAGATGGCTCTACATTAAATACAAAAATACAGATACGAGGAAATAACAGTAAATAATGATAATAATTCAATGTCCCTGAGTTTTCTTTCTCCCCCGTTTGACACGTGGAATATCCCCTGTTGGGTTTAGTGATTTAGCATTTAAAATGGGAAAAAGCGATGTAAATTAGCTAAGGATTCATAAGCGGCGATTCATGAAGTGTCCCTGCAGAAACATCTAAAGGCACCAGGGCCAAATCCCACACTGAGTTGCGGCTGGTGTTTTTCCCCCCTGAGCTCTGTAGGTGTCACTCTAACTCTGTGATCTGCCACCTGTTGCTCTGCCACGTCTCTTCAACAGGTTCGTCCTTCAGCGCTGAGCTCCACATCTCTATAACAGCAGGGTCAAACATTTTCACTTGGGATTTAAATTAAAAAAATGAAAAAAATGAATTAATGATCAAGCCGCACATTTGCTCTATAATATCCCATCTTGTCCTGCACAGGTTTTTTAGTTGTTGTTCGAATGTTGCAGTAAAATCTAACCCTCCATAAGAACGAATAACACGTCACACCACACAGCCACTGGACGCCCGGCGAATGAAGTAGCAGACGCGGCGTCAGCGTGTCCCGTACCGCAGGCTGCATCACCGTCTGGCTGTGGTGATGTCACGGGGGAAGCCGTCTGCTGGAACAACAGCACAACGTGGCACAGATGGGCCCGACTGCCGTCTCCGGGTCACGGCAGGAGAGGAAGCGGGGTGTCTGGTCATGGTGGGCACACAGTGGCACTGTGTGCAGCTGGACACACACACACACACACACACATACGTACATGCTTTCACACACTGCAGCTGATGGATAGAAGCATTTGTCTGTCTGGGAATTATCAGCATAAATCAGCATAATTGTCTT